GCTCACTCCTCAGGGACTGGTCAGCTGGACACAGGCAACCTGCCTCCTCTGCCTTCTTCCCAAGCTGGGCCAGTCCAGGCTCCTGGCAGCACCTGCTGTCGCAGCATCAGACCCCTCTCCCCTGTTGGCTTAGAAATGGTATCTAAAGGTTTGTCTTTTGGGAATTGACTTGTAGGTACATAGATATATATGCATTTAGAATGATTCAAGATGGACAGCAGGGGTTAATTGATTTCTAAGAAACTTGGGTCTCACATACAAAGTTTCTCACAATCCTGAAGGTGGATGGGCTGTCTAATACAACAGGGCCAATGGATTAACACATAGTTTGAGAACTGAGGGGGTGTGCCATAAGATGAGATCACAGCCTTCAAGGCAGACAGACTGTCTAACAAAACAAGGACATATAGTCTAGAAAACAGTCTGGGAATTGGGAGCATATACCATAGTGTCCCATAACATGAGATAAAGTGACACCAGCTGCAAGGCCCCAGAGCAGGAGTGGGGCCTGAGTCCCGGTTTTGGGGAAAAGACCAATTAGTGTTATACAAATAAACTTTCTGCCTATTGCTTTTAATCTTATGTATTTTCTTGAGTTTTGCATTGCCTTAAGAAACTCCATTTTTGTATTGCTCTGTAGCTTGACATAAGTGTTAGACCGTTGTATGCTGTATGTGTGAGAGAATAGGTTAGAGTGTGTCTGTGGAAAAGGAAAACATCAGCTGGCAACTGGCTGAAGAATGCAGACAGATAAAAGACTACACAAGAAGAATCTGCCCCAGAACAGCGAGAGAACAATGGCAACTGACCTTCAAGGAAGAACACGATGATAACACAGCAAAAGCCCAGAGGACTGGGTGAATTGACCAGGCTATAAAAGATGGGGTGAGACGTATCGATTTTGGGTCTTGTTCTGCATGTCATCCTGGAGCATTGGTTCATTTGACGAGATGGACTGGCAGGAGCCCAGCTCCTACTCATGATCAACTTGGCTGGTCACTAAGTTGATTTAAGCACTGATAAGACTGGTATACATTACCAGCGCAGAACAGAAATTGGGGTATGAATGTGGTGGTGGGGGGGGGGTACTTAGTAAACGCGGTATCTTGCCTTATCCTCCCTCATAAGGTCTTGCTTGTGATTTGAGCAATTGGCAATTTGTGTAACATTTGGAGAAAGCCCGAAAAGACCATATTAGTATGTGTGCGTGTGATGAGCTTGGATTGTGTTGATGACACAGTATGTGGATATGTGACCACAAAGAGACAACCAACCAGAGATAGCCACAGATCAAGAGTCATCAAGAGGGAAACAGAATACAAAAGCAAAGACTTGAGAGTAACAAAGGGTCCCTCCCTTTGTCCCATCCCTCCCTGTTCCTTCTCGTCCCTCCCTGCCTCCCCGTCCTCCCTCCCCATCTCCATCCCTGTCCTCTGGGAAGGGTCCCCGATACCACCATGGACAGAGGGCATACCACCAGCCCTTCTCATGCACCCCACTGGAGGGGGTGTGTGTCCTTGTCATCCTACCTCCATACGGCTGACATCTGACACCTAAGAGAAAGAGTCTCAGAGTGAAGCCTGTGTCCTGGCCAGATGTACTTTGACGGTGATGACAGCCCTAGGATTTGGTACATATATATAATTGCTTGATTCTTTGTATTGCTTCTCTTCTGTTATCACTGTGTATTAATAAATTTGCTTATTATCGAATGGAAAGGTTGTGGTTGGTGTGAGGGTGGGACCAGGTTGGTGTCCCCCCTCCCTCCTCGGAACAAGGCCTCTGGATCCTAAATCTATAGCCAACATCACCACCCTTCTCCTTCTGTAGGCCAGCCTGTCTCCTGTGCTGCCAAGCCCATGATATTTGGGATGGGGAGGGTGTGGGGCTCCCAGATGACTAGGACGCAGAACTGCCTGCAACCTTGCCCTTCCCACAGGGGGCCTCTCCAGGGAGATGTCCCGGGGCTAGCCCCCCTTCTCCCCCCGACAGCTGGTCCGCACCCTTAGCATACCCCTGCTGCATGTATCCCAGGTGCAGGGTGAGGAGCTGTTTCGGTGGACTGAGGGTGCCCGGCCCACTATGCCCTGCTGATGGGCAGGGATCGCCAGGGATGTGGGTTTTTTGTTTCCCATGGGAAAACAGAGAAAACCAAAGATTTCCCATTTTTATCAGAGAAAACATAGATTTCTCCTTTTAGCAGAGAAACCCATGGATTCTCCACTTTTGCAAACAGCGCTGCAGGCTGGTTGAGCTCCAGCCTGCAAGAGCTGTTTGCAAACAGGCAGGAAACCCTGAGCCCTGCCTAAAGGGGGAGGGAGAAGGGGGGGCCTGAGGCTCTCAGTCAGCCATAGCTCGGGGCTCAGCTCAGCCTTACTCTTTGTTCCTGGAGCCTGTGTGGTAAATGGAGCTTGCACAGGGCTGGGGGGGCCCTCTGACAGGGCTGGGGGGTTGCAAGTCATGGCTGGGGGAGGCACCAGCAGAGCTGGGGGAAAGCCAGGAGCTAGCCCCAGCCCTGCCCCCACCCAAGCAGGTAGCAGCAGTGGGGGAGCCAGCTTCATGCTGCTTCTGCTGCAGCGACCTGCTGTTGGGGGCAGGGACCTGAAGACTTGGGTCCCTGGCCCCATAGCCCTGGCAGCTTGGGGCCCACTCTGGCATGGCTGGGGGGCAGGGGCTGTGGGTGGGGGGGCCAAGAGGCACAGGTAGGGCAGGGGAGCTGTTGTGG